TTTATTATCACTTACGTATTTTCATAAGAGACTCATCACATTCAAATGTGTTTCTAAAATTATCCTTAAAAACAATAGATTCACAAATACTATTTATTTTTTTCTAGTTCAACAAATATTGTCTTGAAATGTTGATAGGTCCCCATAACTACAACAGTCATCAGGGTTTTAAAAAATTAATTTGGAATAGACATGCCAATTCAATCCAATAAATCTTCTCTGACCACTTACTTTGTGCAAAAGAGGCTTTCCATAGAGCTCAGGGAAATACAAAGATGAGTAATTGAACTTATTTGAAGTTTGCCTAGAACTCTACTTGCCAATTGTGGTAGAACATCTAGCTAGAGGGAGAAAAAACATGAACAGGAAAGCTGGGTGATAGCATTCACCTAAGCTTGCTAGATATAGGAGATAGTGACATTCATACCAGTGCTTAAATTATTTCTAGGTTCAATAATAAATCAGAGGCTCTATGGAAGAATTAACTCTTTTTAACAAAAAAAATTTTCAATTAACAAAGAATTATTTTTTCTTCCTACCTCCTCTTCCATAAAAAAGAAAGAAAAGATAAGAGACATCCTTATAATCAATATACATGATCAAGCAAAACAATTCCCCATGTTGGCCATGTCTGAAAATATGTCTTATTCTGCACTTTAGTCTATCCCCTGAACTTCAGTCTCCTATCACCAATTGCATAACGGGCATTTCCAACTGGATGTCGTGGACACATTTCAATTTCAGTATATCTGAAATGATCCATTATCTTTCCACAAAATAACTCATTCCTCTTCCAAAATGTCCAATTTCTTTAAATGGTATCACCATCTTTCCGGTCTCCCAGGTTTATAACCTTGAAATTAGCCTGGACTTCTCATTTCCATACATTTCTAATCAGTTGCCAAATCTTGCTGTTTCACCCTCCAAATTTCTCACATCTGATCCTCTCTCTGTTCGCACACACATTAGTTCAGGTCTTCATCCCCTCCTGCCTAGATGACATACTCCTAATTGATCACCAGTCTCAAATCTCTCCTCACTTCAGGCCATCCTCCACAGTGCTGCCAAAGTGGTTTTTCTTAAGTAAAAATCTGACCTAATGTTTCACTGACTCATTCAACTCCAGTGGCTCCCTGTTGCCTCTAGGATAAACTATAAATTCCTCTTTCTAAGCTTTTAAAGCCCTCACGACCTATCTTATTTTTCCATCCTCCTTATTATCTCTCCTTCCAACACACTGCAAACCCACCAAACTGGCCATCTCCATTCTTAACACACAGCACTCCATCTCCTGTCTCTATGTCTTTGCAAAAACCTTTTCTCATGCATGGAATGCAAAGAATGACCTCACCTTGGCCTCTTAGTGTCCTGAAGACAAAGGTGAAGCAGCACCATTGCTTAAAGCCTTTCCTAATCCCTCCTATTGTTTGTGTCTTCCCTCCCAAACTGCATTGTATTTAGCTCTGTGGTAGGTATTTGTGTTTATTCTCTTTAATTTATTCTGGATATATTTACATGTACCCTTTGTCTTCATAATATGAATGTCAACTCTTTGCAAAAAGAAATTGTTTTATTTTTGGTATTTGTATTCCGAGGGCTGGGCATACTGCCTGGCACAAAGTAGGTATTTAATAAATGTTTTTTGATTGATTGATTCACACACACACACACACACACACACACACACACATCCTCCACTCAGTCCTGGACACTACTAAAGAATGACTTAAGCATCTAGGGAAATTGATGTTAATATGTTAACATTGGCATCTTGTGTTAAAGCCCATTATTTATTTATTTTTAATTTTCAAAATAGATTTTACATTACATAGCATGGAAATTTACCTCTTTTATAATAAAACCTCTTGCAATTTTTTATTTCTTGTATTCTCTTTGGAAGTTCTTCCACTTTCATCTTTGAATAAAACTGGAATGAGGAGGGTGAAATCTGCTTTTCCTTTCTAAATGTTTTTTCTTTGCAAATGAAATTCAATTCATGACCAATGAATAATGGCATCTTTTAGTCCGTGATGGTCTGATACTGAGTGAATTCTGAGTTGACTGCCATTTCCAGAGTAACCATGGTGACCAGGGTAGCTCCAATGAAATCCATTAATCTCACTGTGATTAACTGTAAATCCCCAAGGATCTTTTTTTTTTCAAGTATCTAGCAATATCTAATTCCTCTCCATGGGTAATAGTGTGTGATGCACCCCTCCCTACTCCCTTTAAAAATGTGCATCTCTAATCCACAAATATCCATGGCAAAGTCTCATTAGTGCACACTGTTAATTAGTATACCTGTCCCACGCGAGGCAACATTGCAATATGGCAAATGACCCCTTGCAAGGTATAAACACAAGGTCTTGGAAATACCCCACACTCATGGGTATTTTTGACCCCTGTGCCAGAAATTTTCAAAAGAGGTTTTCATGTGATTAAAAGTAAGCAGAACGTTGTATAGAGTATGATGCTAAAGAAATTTTAGCTGTACAACGTCTCTTCACAGGTCAGCTTCAGAGTTTTTTGTCACTCTCACAGCTAATATTTCAGAGGCAATGATTTTGGGGAACAATTCACAGTTAGAGACCTGGTACTCAGAGTCTTACTACAGGGAGATGAGATTGTAGGTTCTTAATTGTTGAATCAAAGTATCCCTCCCTTGTGGAGTTGAACTTGGTGGGAATAAACAATAAACCAGGGTGGGATATGTAAGCAGTAGCAAAAGTCACTCACATGGGCTGAGTAGGAATTAGAAACTCACGTATTGTTTAACTGATTCTTGCTCTAAGTAGCCTTCTTTCTTGCCCACTGACTATTAGAAATGATCCTTTAAGAATGAAACATGATTTGATTAAAACTATAACCTTTCTCTCAATTTGTGAGCAGTTATTCCTGCCGACATCAAGAGTTTCTAATTAGAGAAGTAATTGAAGCAATTCATTTCCATCTGTATGTTCATTATCGGAGAAATACCAGGAAAACAACCAGAACACATTTTTTTTAAAAAATGAACATATTTCTGAATACAAATACCAGCCTGGTTTGTATCCCCTTTTCAGAGTTTATTTGATTAATTGCTCATTTAGTCCCCCTTCATTGTGATTTTTGGACAGTAAAAGAAAGAGCAGTCAGTCTAAGGGTAAGAAGAAAAGTTGAAGCCAGCTCCAATTCTAGCTATGGGATGTTGGGTGAGTCATTTAAACTCACTGGGACTCATTTCCCTCCTCTGGAAAATGGGGATAATAATATTTGCATTATATACCTCATGGAGTTACTTAATTGAATGAAACAAACATTTATTAAACACCTACTGGGAACAAAACCTTGTGGTAGGCTCTGAGAATAAAAATACAAAAAAAGAAACAATCCCTGCCTTCAAGGGGTTTATTTGCTCCTGAGCAAGGACCAGGGTCAGTGTTTGAACCCAAATCCACTGATGTAAGTTGTTTTAATTTGCTTTCTAAATGACATATTTCAGGATACTTGGAGTTTGTCAATACATACATGCATGCCTATAGATAGCTAGATAGATAGATGATTTAAATGATCCTAACATCTTATCATGGGGTAGCTGAGAGGCACAGTGGGTAGAGTGCTTGGCCTGGAGTCAGGAAGATGAGTCTTCCTGAGTTCAAATTGTTCTATTAATGATTTAATAAAATTGAGTGATATTTTTTTCTGCTTGCATTAGTTGTGTAATTCCTCAGTCCAACTCCCAGAAGAATGAGAAGAGAGGTATGGTTTAGTAGAAGGAATATTGGCTTTAGAGTCAGTGGATGTGGGTTAAAATCCTGATCCTGCTCCTTACTGTCTGTGTGGCCTTGGGTAAGCCATGTAACTTCTTTGTATTTAAGTTTCCTGGTCTATAAAATGAGGGAGAGCCTTCACATGTCACTTCTAGCTCTCATGTTCTATTGACCTTTCTACACCCTATCCTCCTAGTCTTAACAGATAAATTTCACTTCTCAAATGTGGTAAGCTGCTATTGTTGTTCGGTCATTTTTCAGTTGTATTCAACTCTTTATTAACCCATTTGGGGTTTTCTTGGCAAAGATACTGAAGTGGTTTGCCACTTCCTTCTCCAGCTCATTTTACAGGTGAGAAAGCTGAGGCAAGCAGGGTTAAGTGACTTGGCTAGGGGTCATAGAGCTAGTAAGTGTCTGAGGCCAGATTTGATGAGTCTTCCTGACTTTAGGTCCGTCATTCTATCCACTGCCCCACTTAGCTGCCCCAGATATATGGATATAACATATAGTAATTTGTGTACACATACATATAAATATATGTATGTAAAACATATGTGCATGAGTATATGTATATATAAAGATATATATGTATATACATATGTATGTTTTGTGTGAACCAACATTCTGTGGTTTTAATTAGTTCCCATCCAAGTAACAAAATAAAGGGGGGAGAGTGGGGGATGAGTCTGTGTGTGATATACTTTATCTGAGGCTATTTTTAAAAATCAGATATAATGTAATTATGAGTCAAAATGCCAACACAGTGCAGCATCTTTATTATTTGCTTCATTCTATACAAATTGAAAGTGATATACTTATCATTTCATAGTATTCGTATTTTTATTATCCTGTATACTATAGGTTCAATTTGTCTCAGAATATTAAGACCCTTTTGTAATAAAATAAAGTTATATTTGTGCATGGTGGGATGAAAAGGCAATGGCAAACTTTTGTTTTGTTTTTGTTTTTTTTTTTTTTTATAAAGAAAGGCAGTCTTATTGCTAGTATAGCTTATACAACAAGGGAATCAAGACAACACTGAACTTTTCTTGATTTTTTTTTCATGCATTCATTTACTGTTGAGCCTTTGAAGGGCTGGATTACAGGCCAAGCTAATTTAGTCTAAATGTCAGAAATTGTCTGAGTTTCATTTCCCTTGTTATTACAATCTCTGACGTTTGTTTCTTGTCTTCTTTTTCAGACAGTCATGCCTTTCCCTGACATTTTTTTATTGTGTTCTGTCTCTTTTAGGTCAACTCAAATCAAAACGTACTCTTGGGATAATGCCCAGGTTATCTTGGTTGGGAACAAATGTGACATGGAAGATGAGCGCGTCATCTCAACAGAGAGAGGCAAACATTTAGGAGAGCAGCTAGGTAAGAAATCAACCAATGAGAGAATTCTATTGTTCACAGCACCTCACCGAAGGAACATCAGCACTAATTGTCAGGGTGGATTAAATAAAATTTACTACCCTGACAGTGAAAAGCTATGCATCCTCAGCAAATTGTCATTGCTTTTTCTTCAATCTTTCTTAATCATGTTATTTCTTGTATCCTCTTTGAAATAATTGATCCCAATTCAAAAAGAGAAAAAGATGGCTAAAATTGTGCAAATGAGATCACGTATGTAAACCAGAAAGCCATAAAATTGTGAGTAATGCTTACTATTATTCTCTATGAAATAATACAAGAACCAGATGAAGGCCTCCAGCTTTTCCTAAGAGCTCTGTGGAGGACTTACAAAAGAAGGGAACAAAGATGAAAGCTTGTAGATGGATTATTCAAGGATGTGCTAGAACCAGATTCTACAAGCTCAAGAGAGCTGGTAGTTAAATTTTTAGTGTGAGCATTTGTTGTTGTTCAGTCATGTCTGACTCTTTGTGACCCCAATTGGGATTTTCTTGGCAAAGATAGTGGAATGGTTTGCTATTTCCTTCTCCGATTCATTTTACTGAGGAAACTGAGTCAAACAGAGTTAAGTGACTTGGCCAGGGTCACATAGATGGTAAGTGTCTGAGGCTGGATTTGAACTCAAAAAGATGAGTTTTCCTGACTCCAGTCCTGGCTGTCTATCCAGTTCCCCCACCTAGCTGCTCAAGTGTGAGCGTTTACATCTCAGATATCTTCAAACACTACAAATCAGGGCTTGATGTATTGTCTTGTAGATTGTCTAGACTTAAGAAAGTGATGGAGATTGTGTTCATAATAATGAAAATTAAATTTGGAATTGTGTGTACATTTTTTCTTGGAGAACTGGCAGTTAAACATTTACCAGAGCACCACTAATTGGGATCCATAATGGTGAAGATAATAGGCACCTGAATGAGATCATAGATTCAGGGAAGGATTTTTATAGGCTGGACTCTTCTCCTTACTCCTCCTTAAAAAGAACCAAGTCTACTTTTATCTTTGCATCCCCTCGCCACCCTTACCATTGTGCAATTTTTGCACAAATACCCTAGCTGATTAGAGTTGCTCCCAGGCCAAGTCACAGGATATGCCTTCTTGTAAAGATAAGATGAAGGGGAAGAGATGAAGGGGAGAGAAAAGGGATGTTGGTACAAAGGGAGTATCCAGATGAATGTATTCATTCAACCCACATTCATCATTTATCAAGTATCTGCTATACTCTCTGTTTTGTGCTAGCCCTTGGATTGGTAGGGAATACAAAAAGACTTCATGTACTATACATGAAACGCCACTAAGAATGCGAAGGTGCTACATATGCCCTTCCAACATTTAAAGATGTCTTCATTGCTTACAGGACTTTGGAACCTTGTATAAAAAAACCTTCCCTGAGCCCCTGGTAGCCTTTAAAAGGAGAAGTCCCAAAATGATCATGAAAATCAGCCATATTCTATAAGCTGCTCAGTGAAAAATTACTGAGAAGTTCCTGAAATCACAAGGCGGGAGTGTTTTATGTCCTTTGCAAGTTCCTCCAATTGTTTCTAATTGATCTTTTTGCTGTGGGTTCACTAAAAATCAGTGGTTGCCGTAGCAACCATTGTATGATGCTCTCCTAGAGAGAAATGTACCTCCTTTCATGTATCTTAGTCTTCTTCCCCCCATGACCATACATGCCTTCATTAACTGAAATGAAAGATAAGCACCAATGCAAAGCAGATACTAAACTCTACGAAGTTCAAAGTCAATGTTTAAGCATTTGTACATCTTTAAAAACACACAGATAAAACTCCATGACAAAGAGTGTCATTAAAAAGGAGACTGATAAAAAGAATAAAAAAAGTTACTTCCAAGTCTTGGCATATGACTCAAAATAGCGATTCTCTGTGGTTCTCCTTCTAACTCATTCTATGTAATGAATAACCCTTTGCAATACATGTTTTCTTTAATTCTTGCCAGTATAGCATTCATACACTATAGGGAAAGTACCTGACAGCCAAATTGTAACTGAGTTCTTTGAGATTGTTTAATCTCACCATGAAATATGTCTTATGAGGGAGAGAGGTTGCTTTTCCTTCTTCCACACTGTCCAAATCCCACCCCTCAAGAGACCTAACTGCAATGAGAGACTTATGTTGGCTATCTGTCAGTAAAGCCTAAAGCTGTACCTTAAATGATCCCTTAGGTTTCCAGTGGGGCTAAGGCTTATCCTGTTGTTCATGGACCCTCAACAAGGACCTTGGATAGATTTCATGGGGTTCATGAATTTGATGGGGAAAAATCCATCTTTATTTTAGTATAGTTGGTTTCCTTCATAATCCTATATACTTCACTCTGTGCATTTACAAATATGAATCTGAGAAGGCATCCATAGGCTTTACCAGACTGCCACAGTGATCCACACTGCAAAAGAAAAGGTGAATAAACTCTGGGGTAAGGATTAAAAAATTATATTTTCATCACTTGGCGCACCCATCTGTTCTCTTTCGTTCAGATTATCTCTAGTGGTCCAGAGTAGCCAGTCACATTCTACCACTCTGAACCTATGTTTCCATCTCTTGATTAGAGGATTTCTTAGAGTTCAGGCCTTGGCTCTTTTCCCTCTATTCTTTCTTCTTCTGAGAACTAAATCACTTTTATGAATTTAACTCTCACTTTTTGTAGAATACTTCCCCCAAATTAGATCTCTGGTCCTTACCTCCTAAGCTCTAGCTCAATATCTGTAGCTGCCCAGGAATACATTGCCATGTGACTGTCATTTCATCCCTGAAATTCAACGTGCCTGGAGTCAAACTTCCTCCCTCCCAGCCAGTTTCCCCTCCTTAGCTGTTTCTTTCAGTAGTCCAATCAATTTCCTACTTGCCCAGGCTTTAAATCTTTTTCTCCCCCATATCTACATTGAATTTCTTTCTTCCTTCCTTCCTTCCTTCCTTCCTTCCTTCCTTCCTTCCTTTCTTTCTTTTCTTTCTTTCTTATACTATCAACCTTTATATCTAAATCCTGTACCTCTTTCTTTCTTTCTCTTTTTTCTTCTTTCTTTTGGTGCTCTGCCCAAAGAGAATACAAATTTCAATCTCTGAAACTTTTTTTTTTACAACCCCAAATCACTCTGGCTTTCATCGATTGGCCAACAATAAGTCGCAGGTCATTGTCTGGGCCTGGATTGGTTCAGAATGAATGTAAATAGTAATTGTTTCTGTTTGGCCCAAAAACCCTGAGGATGTTCCCCTACCAGATCAATTTTTTTTTTGACTAGGTAAAGAGGCCATTCTCTGCCTTATTCCTTATTATGCCCAAATCACTGAATGGGCATTGCCTTTGTCAAACTGAGAACTGTTCAAGACCTTAGCTTGAAAAGGGCAAGGGTCTTCCAATGCATCTTGGGCCATCTCCAGTCTTCTTGATCTATATCTGGCCACTAGACCCAGATGGCTCTGGAGGAGAAAGTGAGGCTGGTGACCTTGCACAGCCCTCCCTCACCTAAATCCAATTCACTTGTATGTCATGGCATCACCTCCCTGATGTCATGGTCCTCTTCAAGAATGAAGGACAAACAGCAATGTTGATCACCAGTTTTTATCTATTTTCCTTTTACGGTATTTTCGATTTTCAGATTACAGCAAGGAACAACCACCCTAGCTTACCCTTGGCCTTTCAATTAGTCAGGCCATATCCTTGCATTGTAAGAGTGGAGAGGTGGAGACAGCAAGGCAGCAGCACAGGTGTAGACAAGTAGTGTCAGACAATCCCAGACACCTCTGTGGCACTTCTTCTATAGTCAGAGATTGAGTAACTCATTCCAAAAAAATTTTTCCCTAAGGAAATAACAAAGTCTCCTGATAGCATCTCTTCTGGCCTGTAAGTTATTACTTTAGTTATCACACCCTTGGATTCTCGTTCAGGGTTAGCAATTTTTCTTTAACATACTTCATTTTCCTGTCCTATACACGTGGAAAAATTAAAAGTACAGCTTTTATAAATCTAGTTCAACACTACATATGTGACCTTAGGCAACTCCCAGACTGCCTAACTGGGTTTCAGTTTTCTCATCTGTAAAATGAGAGGATTAGACTCAATAACTCTTTAAATTGTGTTTTTGGCTCCTGAGTAACCAAAGCTACTAGAAAGTGACTAGATCACCATTAAGGATGCTAAATCTTCATATTCAATTTTATTCAGATGAATAAGTTCTCTCAAAATCAGCATCCTAGCAACTCCCAACAATAATCAACAAATACTTATTAAACACTTATGATGTGAAAGGGACTTATTAGGGCCTGGAGATGCAAAGACAAAGAATAAAACAATCCATACTACCAAGAAGTTTATATTCTAATGGGGGAGAAAAGTGTAAATACATGCTATATACAGCATAAATATAAACTGAATAAATTCAACAGAGCTGCCTACAAGGTAGTTTGGGAGGGAAGGCACTAGCAGTTGCGAGCATCAGGAAAGGTTTCATGTAGAAGATGACATTTGGGCTACTGTGTCTTAAAGGAAGAGAAAGAGTCTACAAGTGACACAGAGTGCCCGGTTACCCTATCAGGTTGTCTTACATGCAACTCATTGATATAGACATTCTCTCTGGGCCTTAGAAATAAAAAAAACATAGAGTGTTTTACCTGGAGGAACCTCAGCAACCAACCCCCAACCTACTCCTCTGCTCTAGTGTTCTTCTCTCTATTCTATTAATACTACAGCTGCAACTGTTACCACTATCCATGAGTGAGGGAGCCTCTATGGTCATTCATATTGGCAGTCCATGGATGCAGCATTCAGAAAATTAAAAAACATAGTCCTGAACCTACCTTGATTCCTTTCTTCAATTCTGCCTAAGACCCAATATAGCTAGCTTGAAAGGTACATGGCCTAGTGAAAGATTTTATTTATTTTTTATTTTTTTCCAGGTGAGAGAGCTAACTAGGAAATTTGAAAAGAGGAAAGGTACCATGAAGCTCATTTTTCAA